AAGTGAGAATGTGAAAACAACCCTTTGGGGGGGTGCGGGAAGTGGTGTAAAATTACTTTGCCCTGGACAGGCTGGTGACCTCTCCAGCCAGTGTGTGAGATCCCACAGAAACAGTCTTCAGGAAGTGCTTGCCTGCACATCTCTCTCAGGGACACTGAAGGCTTGTCTACACTTGTCAGTCAACTTGTGCAGAGTCCATCCAGGCATGAAAACGTCTTCTCTCCTGAGGGAAGGCCTGTTACAGACCACACAGGGCTCAGCAAACACATCCATTTTGACAAAATAAAACCGTGAATTAAAATATCAATGGGAGAGAGAACTGACTTATTGAAGAAGCACTTCTTGAAATCTGAAGGCATGTGCCTAGGAACAGGAAAACTTTCGTCCCCAATCATGTAACTAGGGGAGTGCTTTGGGGCCTAGTCATTTACCAGTGGTCCACTTAAAGGAAATACCTGTGGTATCAGTCGAAAGTTAATGTGTGAGGGAGGGTGATACTCTTGGAAGGAAATAGAAACCTTGCTTCTATCTTTTATCCACACCATTAATAGAATAAAATTTACTATTTTCAGTGCAAACTCAGGAATTTTATTTAACCATCAGAAGAAACTTAAATGTCCTATGATAGACTTTACATTAACAGAAAAACTCTAAAAAGACTGAATACAAACTAACTTGACATTAATCAAACTTTTAATGTATCAATTTATTGCATATGTCAGTACAGAAAAATAGAAAGTATATCTTAAAAGAAATTAAAAAAAAAAAAAGTTTCCTTGCCATGGCTAGTACACAATGTACTATGACATTCAAATCTGAGTTATAAAATTTTATTACTACTTCAAACAAAATATGGTAAATAATAAAAATATGATTTACATTATGAAATTAGACTCACTTTATCCTGAATGTACTTCAGTTATGTTGAAAACAATTTGAATTTCCAATATATGCTGTACTGACAGAAATTGTTATAAATTAAGTTCAACACACACCCATTACATATGTATATATGGCACTTTTGTTAAAAAAAAAAAGTTTCGCTTAGTCTTATTTTTCAACTACATTTTTAAGATACAAAATATAAATGGAGGTATATTTGTGCCATTTGGCAAAAAAATGTGTTGACTGGAATTGGGATGATTATTTCTTTTGCTGTACAAATGGACATATTATTTCTGACAAGCTAAGAGAGGTGCATATGTGAGAATAAGAATAAACAGAAATATTTTTCATTTTCTACCTTATCATTTAAAAAATAGATGTCTGTGCTCTGTCATTTCCAGCTTTACCTGAGTGATATGAAAATACATGAATTTAAGAGATAATCCAAAAGTTACTTATGACTAAATTTTCCTTTCACAGCTTTTATTTTTTTCCCGTAATTTTCAAATATAATAGGAAAAAGGGACAGGGGAATATTGGAGGATTTCAGGATCTTGATCATGACCTAAATGAAAGTGACTTCTGTGACATCCTTCTAAAGTTCACCTTACCCTAGCCTCAAGGAGGGTAGGGGCTCACTAATGTAAACCACTATTAGGCTATCTGAGCTTACAAGATCATTTGTATAAAATATGGCCTTCAAAGTTAATTGCCAAACCTATTCTGACCCAAGCCAATGCTGGCAAGAGATGAATAGGTGAGCATCAGAGGGCATAAACTCTCAGCAGTGATGACTGCAATATGGTCATTCCAGTGACTATTACCAGAGCTGTAATGTGTCTACAGAATTCAGAAAAGCATTTAAAGAAAATAAAAATTTAGTCAAAAACCTTTTGCAAAAACTTAAGGTAGTGGCAATGTGAACTGTCCACTTTGTCATTAGAACTGCTTTGCATTCAAATGTGGTTTTGCAGTTTTCAGTTCCTTAGTTTGCAGTGCAATTTTTTTTTTTTTTTTGGTATTGGCGATTGAACTCGGGGGCACTCAACCACTGAGCCACATCCCTAGCCCTATTTTGAATTTTATTTAGTGACAGGGTCTCACTGAGTTGCTTAGTGCCTCACTTTTGCTGAGGCTGGCTTGGAACTTGTAATCCTCCTGCCTCAGCCTCCAGAGCTGCTGGGATTGCAGGTGTGTGCCACCATGCCTGGCTGCAGTGTATTTTCAGGATTTGTTTTTTAACCAATTTTTGCCTGATTTTTTTTTTTTTTCCAAGGGAGAGGTTAACAGGGATTGAACCCAAGGGGACTTAACTGCTGGGCTCCATCCCCAACCCTTTTAAAAATTTTTAAATTTGGGCTGGGGATGTGGCTCATGCGGTAGCGCACTTGCCTGGCATGTGGGTTCGATCCTCAGCACCACATAAAAATAAAGATGTTGTGTCCACCAAAAACTAAAAAAAAAATCAAAATATTTAAAATTTTTTTTGAGACAGGGTCTTCTTAAGTTGCTTAGTTGCCTTGGAAGTTATTGAAGCTGGCTTTGAACTTGCAATCCTCCTGCCTCAGCCTCCAGACTTGCTGGGATTACAGGTCCCTAATAATTTTTTTCTTTTTCTTTTTTTAAAAAATATTTTAGTTGTAGATAGCTACGATACTTTTTTTATTTTTATGTGGTACTGAGGATTGAACCCAGTGCTTCATATGTGCTAGGCAAGTGCTCCACCACTAAGCTACAACCCCAGCCCAGGGTCCTAATAATCTTTAAAATAATAAATTTGATTTTTATTTCTAAATAAGTTTTCTCTCTCCATACTTAAGCTCATTTTAGTATTTCCAAATTTTTAGCTTAATAACTTAAAAGGGCAGCTAGGTAATTCACAAATGAATTTTATGAATGAGCCAGAAATGAACACACAAGATAATCTTACTTCATTTCCTTCAGAGATGGGGCAAAACGAAGGCATGGCTCATGTACAAGTCACATTTTACTAAGACCAAGTGTTTCGACTACAATTTAGAAATATTTAAAAAAATAATGCCATGGGCTTTGTGGACTCCTAGAAATATGAGCTTATCTTCCACCCCTTTCCACACAAGCAAGTGGCCTTGAATACAGAAGCTGGTACAGACAGTACAACCCCACGTGGCCCTGCCCCTCACTGGAGAGAGGCTCTTTAGGAAGAGACAGGGCAGGAATGGTACACGAGAGCTCCATAACATCTTAAGTCCTGGCTTAAAAACCCAGGAGGATTATAAACCTGAAATATCCCCCGCCCCCGCCAAAAAAAAAAAAAAGCAAAATAAAAAAGCACTGATGAAGAAAACCTGACACTTCATCAGCATGTTTCCAACCGAGTCAATCAGTTCCTCCACAGTGCAGCCGAGGGATTATTACATGAATACGTAACAGCAGAGTGCCCAGGAAACCTTAAAGATACAGGCAGAGCTGTGCCATGAGAGCTCAGGTCCAAAGACGACATTTTAATTTTCTCTTTCCAATACATTCCTCCTCAGGACAGTCACCGTACGTAGCAGGATTTACAAGATGAAAGACAGCCTGCAATTGTGGAGAACTGACACAAAATACACCTCCCGTAATATGTGCTACCAACTTTCAAAAGCAAGACTTTTTATAATTAAGAATGTATAGAAACACATTATTCTTAGAAATCATATTTGTTATTATTTATCTTTTCTAAATCCTAGCATAAAGTCAATGATAAGAATGCTATTTAGCCCTATTTCCATGAAATATGTCTTTAAATTACAGTCAAGATTATTGACTCATTGTTTCTCTGCTCTAGCTGCTTTGTAGAAAGCAAAATATTCAAAATGTGTGCAAACTGACATCACAATGCATGGAGCTCAGTTACAATTAACTTTTAAGGACTGCTTGGAACAATCTGGCACAATTCTGTCTCACAGCTTATATATTTAATTAAGGTAAATCTTTTAAGTTTCAAGGGACTTAAGAAAAATTTCCCCTACTTTTCTATGTGTCTACACACTGCTCCCTGCATAAGCCATTCAGTTGTGACACATGGTATCAGGCTGTGTCACAGAGCTCTAATTCCTCATGCTCACCTGTCCTCACGTATGAAATTTAAAAACAAAATTTTCCCCAAACTGTCTTTTGATACAGTTGTCTTTGACAGCAACTGGAATATTAAGTCAAGAACCTAGATATTTTTGCTTTTGCTTTATTTTTTTTAATTTTCAAAAACTCTAATTTAATGATCATAACCCTTTGGTGGGGTTAGGTGTATCCTAGGTCCTGGGGCTTAAATATCCAATATGGAATTATGTAAAATGGTATGTACAATCATGTAATAGGACTTCCTAATTTAATTCTTAAGCAAGTTCTAATCTTCACTATGACTGCTATTCGTGGTTCAGCTTAAGACTTACAAAATTGACAGAAGCTAAAATTCTCTTTGCCACCAAAATTACAAATATTAAAAAGTTCAAATATGCACAGAAAGCTGCAGTAAGACTCTAAATTTCTATCTGCATGCCATGATCCAGACTGTACCTAACAAAAACACGGTACATTTATATTGGAAAACAGGGTCCCATTTATTTGTAAGAAAAAGCTGGATCTCAGCGTCCACCAGAGCAAAGGTCAATGGCAACCTGCACACAGGCCTCAGTTCCACTTCTTGCCAGAAACAAAATAGAATTTACATAAAAATAGATATAACCCAGATAACCATATACACCAGTATATGGCCAGTGCTATTTACATTAAAAATGTTGCATTGCATAAGTCAAGGAATAAAATACCATCATGCATTTCATTTTAACTTTTAAGGTGAAAAATGCAGTTATAGAATTAAGTTTTCTTACCATGATTGTCCCAATATTTACTACAGGAATTACATCCAAAGGTTTCTTGCTCATGTGTCTCCTTTCATTCATTCCCAGCTATTAGCCTAAATGTGACACAGATTATATGTCACTTAAGCAACAAGAAACTTTTGAATAACCTCTATTATACTGATGTACTAAACTAAAGTTATGGATATATAACCACATTGAAAGTTTTGATGAACATGTGTGAAATAATCCCAATAATTACAGTTCTTCAAATGTAAAAAACCATTTGGATCATCATAAAGGTACACTGAGGTCCTTTCAAAGTTTAATGTCATTCTTCAGACAAGTACAGACGTAACACACTTGTAAGAAATGAACATTCTTTATCATTCTGCACAAATTAAAATACAATGCATTAATCAAAAAGGGGAGCATCATATAATTGTTACACTAGATGACGTTTTCGTCATTTCTTCAGGAGAATGACTCTTTATCACTTCTTTGATGAACTGTTCCAGTGCAGGGAAGTAGCCCTGGCACTGCCACGTGTCGTTATGAGTTCCATCTGGAAAAATGGCTAGCCTCTTAGTCCGAGAGGGGGAGAGTTCATAAAGCTGCTTCATCATTACTGGTGGAATTAGCTGGTCGGAGAGTCCAGAGATGAAAAGTGAAGGCATTCTGCACTGAGAGATTTTTCGGTAGGACAAAAATTTATTTTTGTAGCACCATAAAGGAAGGTAACGCATTGGAAAGAATGAAAATAAAGTGCTGGCCATATGCGGTATGCTCAAGAATGTGTTCTCCACCATAATGGCTGAAATCCTATGTGAATTTTCAGAAGCCAAATGAATGGCCACTGCTCCTCCCAAGGAACGGCCAAAAAGAAAAATTTTTGTCTTATCAAGGTCGGGTCTAGTCATCACGTAGTCTAGCACAGCTTCGGAATCTAAATAGAGCCCTTCTTCACTTGCTTCTCCTTCGCTTTTTCCATATCCTCGATAATCAACAAGCAAAAGATTAACTTTGAGGTTAACCAACATAAGCAATGCATTTGGTAACCTGTGACCTATGTTGCCTGCATTCCCATGAAAATAAATTATAGTTGGGGAATAGGGCGAATTGTCTCCAGTGTATCTTATTAAAATAAGATTTAGACGGACTCCATCTTTGGTTCTGATGAAAATGTTCTCATGTGGAATACCAGTGGGCATGGGAACATAAAGGCGCGAAGAGGACGGCTGTTCTGGGAAATAAAGCAATACATCCTGGAATTTATAGAGAATACCTGCTATTGATATGAAAATTAACAAAAGTAAGATAATGCCTCCATACAGATGAAAAGTCACTATTAAAGGTAAAAGAGAAATACGGCAGAGAGCCCAAGACCACGAAGCCAAGGCTATCAGCCATCTTTCAACGAAGTTCCACAGCATCCAGGACTTCTCCATTGTAGCTCTCCGTAAGTATCCTAGAGAGAAAGATAAAGGATGTCAATAATTCACCATATACCCATTACTCTTAAAGACCTGTGAAATAATGCAATTAATATCCTTGGGAGCCTAAATGACGCCACAAGAAACAGGCTGCTGATATTCTCGTTGCCCCACTCCTTCACAATAATCTCCAATCTAATGTACCCCTTCGGAGTTACACTTATGAAATGCAAATATTCACTGAAATTATTCAGTTTTTAAAAAGTGCTCATTTACTGCTAAGTACCTTCATTCATGTGTTTTCAATGATGTGACAGGAAAATGATGACGCCATTCTCAATTTTACATAGAGGAGATGGAGGTTCAGGAGCTGAAGTGGATGTGGCCATAGTCCCACCTCTACAGGCAAAGGAGCGAAGAAGCAAAGATGCACGACCCCAAAGCTCTTGGCATGTCGGCTGCTAAGCTATGTCCATCGAGGACAAGTTCTGCTAAAGAGGTAACTACCAGATTCTAACCCTGCCAAACCAAGCCAATATAGTTTATTTTCAATATCTTTTATATTTAAAATTATAAGTAAACCAGGGTAAAAAAACAAACAAAAAACCCAAAATATTTCCTTCTACCTGAATGTTTTTAGTTAATACAATACTAGAATATTGATCAATTTTAAGATTATTTTTGAGAAAAAGTTTAATAATGTGTCTTTCACACTAAATATAAGTTTAAGATTGCCAGTGTTTTGAGAGGTACAGGATCTCCTACAAAACACTTGTAGAAGTTTCATGATAAGGTGTTGCCACTGATCGCTATAACACATTTTAATACCAATAAACACGTGGGGGGATAATGTGGAACAAATGCACAGTAATTCTCTTGAGAACCAGAGGCAAACCAAAAAAAAAAAAGACTGAGGAAAAACTTTAAAATATTACAGCAGCATATAACAGACATAAAAAAGTAAGAAACTATCAGACAGTTTTCTTTGTTACAAAATAGTAGTCTACACAAGCTATCTTAACCTGCCTGGAGTTCTTTTGCCATTTTATCAGGTTTCTAAGGTAATATTTATCTACTTAGGCTTATTTACTAAGCTTTTGAAAACACTAAATCTCCCTTTATACTTTATTATACCACAATAAAGAAATTGCACTTATCTTCAATAAACAATTGTTATTGATTTTAGAAACTCATTGTGTGCCATGAGAAAAAAAAAAGCATTTCAGTACATATGAAATTTAAAACTGAAAGATCATCATAAAATCAAGTTAGATTGGTTATTAAGACAATGAGTTGAATGGTTTAAAAAACTTGATTTTTCACTATTAATTTCACTCAACAGACTTTCGCATTAGAATTCTTATTCAAATGAATCTTTCTAAACTCACAAGTGGAACTTTTCTGGATTCAGAGAAACCAACACTGCCACCCAGTTGCAGGAAGTTTTATTACAAGGTGCCTCCTGCAATCTATAAAGTCCAAGATTAAAAACTTGTAAGCAATGCCCAAATGCTGCTGGTATTAAACCTGCCTACAATTAGATTCAAAGATGTAACAGACTGAATAATAAGCCTCCTGTGCTGAACTGAACTGCCAAGCTATTCATCAGCAGATTGGGCAGAGCTAATTTACACAACTTATCTGGGCACTTCAATGTCCCTTATAACAGTTACTTCATTTTATGTTTTAAAGTGTAAGTGATATCTGAACGATTTTGTGCTGAAAAGTTTCATTAGGGATATCTAAAAACAAAATTTATACACAAAAATAAAATAATTTTAATTTTGGCACAATGATTTGGATTAAAATGTCTGGGATCATTTGTGTTTGTGTTATGTTAAAGTCCTACAATGTATCATAAGATACTATTTGTTTCTTTCCAGGCATAGTGGCACACAACTGTAACCTTAGCAATTTAGGAAAGAGGTGATCTTAAATTCAAAGCCAGCCTCAGTAACTTAGTGAGACCTGTCTGAAAATAAAAAGGGCTGGGTATGCAGATCACCAGCTGAGCGCCTCAATACCTGCCATTGCCCCCATCCCCCAAAAAAGCTACAGTAAAAAATGTCAAATTTTTACTATTTTTTCTACAGCTAAACCAAAAAGTCATTTGTGAATTTATGACAGAGGTATCAAAATGAGTGATTCAAACATAATTTATTTGGTGATATAGTAGGTAATGGCATATTGACATTACATCACCCTTAAAATCTGTACTGAATAACTTTCTATTTATCACCTATTTCCAATCTGAATGTTCAAGAGTGAAAATTTTTAAAATGCCTGCATATAAGGTTAGTCAATAACAAAATAATAAAAACATTTATAAATGCTATAGCTATGTTTCTCTTCTTTGCTTCTGTGATGAGCATTTCTGGCTTTACTGCTCCTGTCTGTTCTGTTCAAATTAATAACACCAGAATTTAGTGAGTAATTAAAAGACAAGGAAGATACAGAAATATGAGGAACACATTATCCAGATAATCAGGGATGGGGGGCCTTGGCTTTCAAATCAAAGTTTTAACTGAAGTCAGGTAACAACACCACAAATATAAAGCTCTAAATAAGTGGATAAAGCATGTTTAAAAAAAATTGTAGTTGTAGATGAACAGAATGTCTTCATTTGGTTTTTATTTTTATGTGGTGCTGAGGATTGAACCCAGTGCCTCATGCATGCTAGGCAAGTGCTCTGCCACTGAGCTACAGCCCCAGCCCGATAAAGCATGTTTTGAAATTTAAAATACATTTACATCTGTTTAGATAAAAATCTATAGTTAAAATTTTCAGCTACTAAATTTTCAAAAGTTGTTTTTTCTAGCCTTTTTAATGTCTAATTTCAGTAAACAATACTGACTTCAAATCTTTAAGGCCAGGAACTGTTTCCCTTTTCACTACTGTATCCCTAAATGACTACAAATACTCGATCAAAATGTTTCATGCATGAATAACCTAATAACTTACCTGAACTATTAGATTTCCAAGAAAACATAGTAATATTCTAAGCCACAAGTATGTTTAAGACTGGATGTCAGGAACAAATGGCACATTTGGTTAAAATCTTTCATTGGTTAGGAATAAGAAATTTGGGAGTTTTCCACAAAATGTTCCAGAAAGATCACTCCAAGTGACTGGGAATGAACACCAAACCTTACAGTGGAAGTGGCCTCCACAGCGGGAATCCACTCTGAGGGCATGTGTCCTCTGACACGCTGCCACTGCAGGTGGGTCAGACTCACGGCCTTTGTTGTGTTCCTCACCCCATTTTTGTCCATTTCTCCTCCCTACTCTGAATCATATTTCTACCTCGAAGATGCTATTTGAGGAACTGGATCAAGCACACTTCGAAGATGCTATTTGAGGAACTGGATCAAGCACACACTATCAGGAAGGTTTTTTATTTACTAAACTAGCTGAAACCATGGCAAAGCACAATGAGCAGCGCCATGTGTTAAGGGCCAACAGCCCTTCCTAGACTTGCCGTTCTGATGCCATGGACATGAACAGACTGCACGGGGGCCGCAGCCTACATGGTGTTATTTTGTTAATAAATTATAGTGAAGGGTTAACAAAACCTTTCTCCTTTTCCATATAAAAATTGGCCTTTGGTTAACCCTTCAGCAGTTTCCCTGGAAACATAATAAAGGTAAGATATCAGCTGTGTTTCTAAGCAACATTGTTTGTGGTTTAAAAAAAAAAAGGACTTCTACTGGTGAGCTCTTGTGGATGACAAAGACAGAGTCCCCAACCACACTGAAAGCTTAAACAGGGGTTTCTCTGAATGGAACATGATTTGTAATTGCCTTATCCTTTACTGACTCCTAGATGCAATGTCCATGTGTTACAGAGGATGCTATTTCCTGATAAGCATGAAGCAGCTAAGTAAGGTCAGACCCACATCCATCCATGTGTTATCTTGCCACCAGACCTGAGCTATCACTTGGGAAATGCACACTTGATGGTAGCTGACATGCTGGCGTGTTAGCCCTTATCTTCCAACAAAGCAGAGGCTGAGGCTCACTATAATATTTGGATCTTGTGAATTGAGTGTCCAGTTGATCCCAAGACTTGATTATGCAGGATAAATGAGGTAATTGGTTGTACCTTAAAGTCCTGTGTGGCAAAGCATCTATGAAATGTGTCATTGGAAGAGAATTATTTGACAAGCTCTGTTGCATACTAAAATGTATTCACTGGTAACACCTTAGCCTCATATACAATCAAAAGAAATCATGACTTTAATATGGTCAAAGTTAAATCAGAGTTTTTACCGAGTAGAAGGGTTGCACAGTGGGAAGAAACGCCAGACCTGTTCTCTGAAGATCACATGACAGCCTATCACCTGTCCTCTTCCACCCATCTGTATGGCTATGTAATTTTAACCTTACCCCTGCATCTTAAACAGCTGACTGATCCCCATTTCTCAATTCTGCCTTTGCCCTGTTATCAGATCTTATCTTACATGTCAAACATCTCTAAAACACATTAATATGTGGCTTTAACAACTCCCAGTTAACTCCTTCACCACTTGCTGAGAACCCAAGAAGCAAGCTCTTACCATGAATCTCAGAGTAAAGCTCACTTACTGCTGTATCTGAAGGATGTTTCTCTGTCCATGCTGTAAGACGCTGCCCTCCAACTGGTGATCACTGTGGACTCTTCCTCCAGCATCAATATGCTCCCATTCCTACCTCTCTCTAACCTATCCCCCGAGACACTGGCATTTCCCAAGGTCCGTCCTTTCAGGTTCCTTTTACTGTTTGGATCTGGATTGCACCCACAAGTCTAATGTGTTCAAGGCTTGGATGCCAAATTGTAGTGCTACAGGGAAGTAGTGGAACCTTTAGAAGGTAGGGACAACAGGAAGGAAGTGAGGTCACAGGAGGTAGCCTGGAAGGGGACACTGGGACCTGACCAGCCTTTCTCATTCCTTGCTTGCCATTCAGCATCAGGTGGGCGGTCTCCTCCACCATGTGCTCTGGGTCATCACATACTGCCCCTCCACAGGCCCAAGCAATGGGAACAAGCGACAATGGAG